CGGCCTCCCAAGGCCTCTGTGAGCACTGGGCCTGGATAACCTTACAGGCTTTGGTGCAGCCTCTTGGGGCTTCCGTGCACACTAGACCACGGGGGCCCTATGGGCTTTCGTGTGGCCTCCTGGGGCCTCCCTGTGTATGCAGTTGCAAAAAGGGTCCTTCTGCCTCTGCTTCACCCTTAAAGTGCTGCCATCTTAGAAGCATACTAGGCTGCAATACTCAACTAGCCCTGGAGACTAATGAAACCCTCTAACACCCACAGGCCTTGCTTCTACCATTTAGCACGTATGACCTCTGTGGTTCCTAAAATTCAAGTTGACAATGTATGTCATTGTGGGAGAGTGTAAAGAGAGGGCTGCTCCCCAAGGAAACGTGAGCTGAAAAGCAGAGGTGACAGCAAGGCAGGCAGGGCTAGTGGCTCCACTGACAAGTGACGTGGTCCTACAGGCCTGAGTTATGAGGGAAAATATAAGAAAGAAAGAAAACAACCTTAACTTCTAGGTGTTTCCTTCAAACCCACATGCTCAAAACCCCATTCAAATAACTAAAACAATCTGAATTAACACCTCCTGAGCATTTTGAAAGTGAATCGTCTCTCAATACCACACAGCAGAAAGAAAGGGAAAACACCACAATGCATGGGGAACCTTAATCAGCAGTGTCTGCCAATACTCCAGCCCCAGCTATGACTGGCTGCTGAGATAAACAGATGCTTCATTCTCTCCAAATTACACTCACAGACCAAGAAAAATCCAGATGTTGGTAGGGCCAGCTGCCCATCTTATATCCTCAAGGCATGCTCAGTTTCCAGGAGCTCTTTTGCCTGTCCCAGATGACACCATCACAGTGTGAGTGATGGATAGGGAGGCTCTCAGGGCAGCTTCATCCCTTGGCTAACTTTCTCAGGTTGCTAAGTTCGAATGTACACAGCTGAGCAACTGTGTCACTCCATATACCTCTCCCTGCCTCAGCTCCACTCTTCATACAACAGTGCCTCCCGTAGTTCAGGAAAAAAAAAAAAGACAAACACAGGAATCTCAAAGCAGATAACTTTCCAAATTCACCCTCAAAGTTACTCCATCACTGAGTCTTTTTTTTTTTCCCTCCTAGGAACTGCTGAAAGCTCCTTTGATACACCACTACAGGCTGTAGCATGAACAGCATAACACTGTACTTCAGGCTGAACTATGCCATCTCAATCAGTTTCTGAAAAAAAAAATACTGTATAATTCTTCATGGCTATGCCATAACAACAGGCTTACTTCTATGTCTCATAACTGGCATGCAAATGGAGTCTGACCCATCTCATACATTCCTTTGATAGAAACCAGCCATTTTAAGTTGCAGAAATTTCCGTGATAGAAATCCACAGACAACTTTCTGCCATTCAGTTCTATTAGTCCCTGTTAGGTGTCAAAAAAAAGTCCCATTCACTGAGGAGGTTCCAAATCCCAGTATTTACACTGGAAAAATATGTACAGCCATCTCCCTACAGTATAATAGTAGCAGGAGCAACTGTTCCGTGCTATTGAGCAGTCCTTTTGCCAGGTAAAACATTTTCCCAAGATGTCAGAAGTTTGAGGTTAGACCTCATTGCCTGGGAAGCAGTCAAGATTCTACCTTACATACTAGAGCTTTCCTGTACGTTATAAGGTTTGGGTTAACGGAAAGAACTTTGAAGAACAGACAGACAGTGTGACTTAGAAACAGAGTATTTAGGTTGAACTTTGAAGAACGGACAGACAGTGTCAGAGTATTTAGGCTGCCACAGGAGATCCCACACGCGAAGCAGTTCCACGTGGTTCCTGCTGCAGCTGCTCCACTTTGTAGAGAACAACTAGGGCCCTGTGGGCAGCAAAAGTGACAGGCAAACTTGAGCATGGTGCCTAGGAGCCTCACCTAGGCTCCTTTCCTCTTAAGGGCAACAGGGATACATGGTAAGGCTGCATTCTCCTTTCTTCCGCATAGTATGCTTTCGTACTAGGTGAGGAGTGCGTAAAGTATTCAATAAATATTCACGGCAAAAAGTGTTTTTCCTCCTTTTTTGAGTGCTGAATCTGACTTGACAATGCATTTCCTCTCTCTTTAGCCAAGCTGATCTTTAATGTTTTATTTCCTACCACCTGATAGGTAGGGCAGTCTTCTGAAAGTGAGGAGCTTGGATTACTTTCTGCTGAGGTGAGACTCAAATTCAGATCCCCTATCAAATTCTGGGGACATAGGAAACATACATAGGAAACTTAAGTGCTGGGGGTTCTGCTGCAAGGGCAAAAGACAGAAAGTATGGAAGCGGGGATACTAAACATTGCAGTGGTGGGGTGGATTTAGGCCTTAACATGCAGTGAGCTAAGCTATGTATGTATTTCATACTGTCCCTTGAATACAAAGGCAACACAGGGTTTTTAAATAGACATCATTTGCTTAAATCATGTTTGGATTTGCCCCACAACATGCCTGACTACCCAGGTGCATTGTTTCTGTAACCAATTAATAACTTTGACATCTTAGGGAATTTCCCCATGATCAGATATCCACTTGACTGCTAGACATATTGCAAGGCTTATATGTCTCATTCAAGCTGTGGCTTTGTGGGAAATGGCATTTTCAGCTGAATTAGTCCTAATTTTTACTTGAATATACAATCAGGACAACTTTCAAATTTTTATGAAAAGGGTTTGTGCACAAATCTAGTTTGCTTGCTTTATTTTTCTTCCTCTGATTCATTCTCAAGCGGATCACACTGGGCTTTGTGATAATACACTACAAGAAAATGTTTTTAGAAGTCTAGTGTAGTTTAAAAGTCACTATTTCTGGTATAGTCACTCCCATGGGGAAGTAAAATAAGTGACACCAGCACTGAGTAATTATATTTGTAAACAACAACAAAAAACCTTTATAATGAAATAGTTTTACTGGTAAAAGTATTTTAAGCACAGAGGAACTGAATGGCTTTCTGTGATTGCAATGAGGGACAAAGACAACATACTGACACAATCAGAAATTTCCTGGAATTACTAGATCTGAGGTTACTGAAAAAAAACAGTTAAGCAATGTATTTTTTTGCTTTTGTAAATATGAATCTCTTTTTAGTATAGCAGGGTGTCATTTAACAACTTTGAAAGTACACACAGTACACACACAGTACAAAACAAAATCCTGGGCTGCAGGTTAGTTAAATAGTAAAGTGTTAATCCCTATGCCTACCTTTTATGCATGGCATTTCCAAACTTCCATAGAATTTGGCAGAGTGACATTTGCACCCTATTACAAAGAGAAAAGGTTTATTTTCCCGATTTTAAGTTTATAAATTGAAAGAAGTGTTTGCCAGTTTCCTTTAGGAGGTCCCCTTTGCTTTAAGCAATAACACATTTGCCATTTTCATAAGTGTGCTGATGCCTTGGATGCCCAACTATGTTTTTTGGAAATGTTACTGTTTATGGGTATGATTTCATGAGTTTATTTACCTGCTTCATTATAAATTCATCTGACTCATAATGTTAAATTTGTGAGTCTAAAAAGGAAGAATGGGCCATTTACAGCCTAAAGTTAATTTCTGTCCTACATTTAAGTAATATACCTGAGTCTAGTGTTGGGGTAAGAAAGAAGTGTGGGCTAGAAGCCAGGATATGGCTTTTTATTGAAATTTTTAACCTTGGAAAATAGGCAATGTTAACATCAGTAGTATACTTGTAGAGACAAGAACCCACATCTCTGCCTGAGCCCTGCATAATCATGAAACCAAGTATTTCTGGATTAAAATGTACATGTATGTGTGTCTCTGGGAGGATGAAGATGGGGCAAGGCTTTAGTAGCCCTCCAGGCCAGGCAGCTGTTGCTGCCTAACTTTCCCTGGAGAACAAGAGGCATTTCTCTGAGGATAGTCTTGGAAGCAAAGATCTTCTGCCAGCTTCTCTTCCTCACAGCCTTTGGCCCAATCAAATTGGGGCAAGTAAATGACTGCCTTCTCCCATATTTGTAAAGGAAAATAGTATCTGATGCTTTTGGAAAGGCCTTTACTCATCTCTCTGATCCAACTCATCCATTTTCTCCAGGTGTTGTTCAAATAAGCAGCTATACATTACTGTCTGAACAGGCACGTTCCTCTCACTACTTCTTGCCATTTAACACAAGCCAGGGGAAAGCTGCCTTGCTCTTCCATAAGAAACACCAACATGCACCAGTGAGATTTAGGAAACAGATATGCCCTTACCTGAAAAGCTAATGCAGCCAGTGAAAAGACACTGCTATCTCTTAAACATGGTGTGACAGGTAGACTCCTGTTTACACACAGACCTGAGTATACTCCTGATCTGTGTATAGCCAAGCACTGAAGTCTTATATTCAAAGGCCTGTTGGAAGTACTTGCCTCCTTACAGTACTGATGCATAACTGAGACTATCCTTTTGATTTCTTGCAGTATATTCAAAATGCAGTCTGCAAAAAAGGTGGAGAGCGTCTCTGCTCCAAGAAACATACAGTCTGAACATAGCACAGTGGATTGACCACTGTTTACATTTTTGCCTGTCTTTCCTCTGATTTTTCAGAAGCGATCTGTCACTTTGGCTTTATTTCGCAGCCACTGGAACCTGATCAAAATTAGAAATACAGGAAAGAGAAAGCAATGCAAAAGGACAATATGCAGATTCCAGATCCAAGACCTGCCAACTCCCTGCTACAAATCTTCCTGGGATGGACGTATTTGTGAAGCCTTATAACTAAGCAGTAAACCTGCTTAGAATTTAGTAGACACAACTAGGCAACAAGGATAAAGCGCTTCAACTCTGTTAGTTGCTGCAACTGGATTCATGAGCCAATTTCTGAACTGATAACTGCCTCATGAAAGATAGTGGAGGGGAAAAGGGATGTCACCATCTTTTTTAACTGAAATATTCAGCCCTGTGTTGAAAGAGACTTTGGTCAATCAAGAGAGGTGATTGCCCCTACTCTGTTTTTTCCCGGAAGAGCCCAAGTTGATCATTAACAGTCAAGCTCCTGAAGCCACTCCACAGTCCTGCCACATTTTTTTTCCCCTGAATAGTCCTTGCATTTCTTATACTGTGGACTAACAGAAGATGGTTGAGGATCTGAAGAGAAAGTCTTTAATGGTTCTTACTATCATCTTGCTGCTCACCTTAACACAAGCAGGTAAGAAAGACATGATTACTTGTCAAGCAATTGAAGGTTTTACGTAGAAAGCTCTGAATTCAATTCTCTCCAAATAACCTGTGTTTCAAGAGGTCCCTGCTACAATCTATTTAAATGCCAGGAGACAGGGCAGTGCAGGAATGGTTGTTTCTTATTCCATGCTTTGATTCCATCAGTGATTTTGTTCTGCTGACTTGCTTTAATAAAAAAAATGATGCAAACTTTTCCTAAAGTGGGAGAAGGACTACTTACTCTCTGGTATCAGCATTGTCTGCCTTGAATACCGAAGGAAATCTAATATGTAGTAGTCAAAAAGAAATAAAGGCCTTACTTCCATTTCTTTCTTCAATTATGTCATCAATGAAAACTGTGTTTCTGATCATTACTACGGTTCCACACCACTTAAAGTTTCACAGTAATGCACCTCTACTTAGCTTCATTTGTAATATCCATGATTCACAGTCCCTTTACGCCATTTCTGGCATGCAAGTTACTTTCACTGAACATGCCCTTTCTAGTTAAGTTGACTTATGAGCTACACTTCTCCTAAACTGAACCCAGAGACCATCTCTCCCCCTTTCATTCTCCAGAAGACCAAAATAGACAACAATGAGATATCGTCACATCCAACAGAGAAGATTTGAGAGTGAAATCTCACTAATCTCACCTTGTGCTGACCCTTGTGCCAGGTTCTGCCTAGGTACTGTAAAAAAATATGCAGATTCAAGACAGCGTCACTTCCTCTAGTCCAGAAAAGGGATGGGGAATGTATTGTCATTTCAGCTGAATGCATCTATGCCACCCTACACAGCCCAGAATCTTAGGCCATTCTTAGGGATTCATAGGGATCTTAGGGATCATTTAGTCAACTTAGTCAACTAATTGACATCTTGCTCATCACAGACTAATAAATTTCTCACCATTAGCCCTTCAGTAAACCGAACATTTTGTCTGCAACAAGCCTTCTAAAACGGCAGCCAGTCCTACTCTAAAGTGATATGAGGCATATGTGAGAAGAACCCAGCTCTTCTATGGGCAGCCTGTTCTATTCGCTAGCTGTACATACTGCTGAACTTCTTTGCTTGATTTCTAGTCTAAATTTATCCAGTTTTATATTAGTTATAGGTTTGCACCCTTGTGGCAAAGAAAGCCAATGGTATCAGGCTACATTAAGAAGAGTGTTGATGCAGGTCAAGGGAGATGATCCTTCCCCCTTACTCAGCTCAGCGTCCAGAGTTCCCCCATACAAGAGGCAATGGGCACAAATTAAAACAAAGGAAATTTGTTTTCCTTTGTTCATTCAAAAGAAAATACTTCTTTTTTGTGAGAGTGGCAGACCATTGGAACGGTTTGTGGAGTCTCCATTCTTGGAGATATTTTAAACCAACTGCATGTGATCCAGGGCAATCTACTGTAGCTGACCCTGCTAGAGCATGGGAATTGAATTGCATGATCTCCAGAGGGGCCATTTCCAATCGCAACTCTTCCATTGTTCTGTGTTGGGTTTTTTTGTTGGTTTTGTTTGTTTGTTGGTTTGGCTTTTTTTGGCTGGTTAGAAGAAAATACCTTGCAGTAGCTATCTTTTTCTTCCCATAAAATATTTTCATACTGTAAACTAATTGTTATTGAATCATTCTTTCAGCAACACTCTCATCTTTACTCCTGGATACACAAATGTCAGTTAGACTTGTACCTTCTATTTAGCCTAGCAGAATGCAAATAGAAATATGCTCAATCAATGGTGATTGCCTACTGAGAACTTTTTGAGAAGAATAGCCAGCTCTTAATGTGCTCTTAATTGCTTCACTGTGCAGTTGATTTGGAAAAAAAAAAAAAAACACATGTTGTCATTCCCTTCTCAGTAAAAAAAACTCCCAGATTCAGGCTGTCGTGACACCTACATTTATCTTCCTCAGGCAGAGTTGGAACTTCGTCAAAGAATATTAACAACTTTATTAGCTAAGAAGTGTTTTCCAGAATCAGTTGATATTATGTTCCTTTACTCTTTATTAATAGAACTCAAATTGCTATCTTCATCTTCCCAAGGAATTAAAATGGACTTTTTTTTTCTCCTCATTGCACAGACAAGCTGGTTATACTTCCTGATCCTCTCTCGTTTCAGGGAATACAGACAAAGCCTCAGGTCATCTCTGCACTGACTTCCAGAGAGCAAATTTCCTGCAGGGCAGTAAACTTAAGGTCCAGTTTCTTCTATTCTCCTCCTCCAGACCCAGCTGCGGGGAGCTGATTTTTGCTGACGATGGCATTAGAAACTCCAGTTTCAATAGCAGCCTGGAAACAAAGATCATAATCCATGGCTTCAGGTGAGAGAAAGAAGAGCATTGTGGCTAAATTTATACAAGTAAATTGAACACTGCTTGGAGTTCTCACAGGCATAGAGTAGGGCTAGCATGGAAAATCCCTGCCCACATGACCCTTTTAGTTTCCCTAACAGAGTGGTTGTGGCCAAAGCGCCTGCTAAGAACAATGTCTGGAGCGCCCAAGACCCATAATTGTTCGACTCTTGAACCATACTAGGAAGTTTTCTGGGAGAGTACTGATGGGTGAGGACCAGAAGCATTGAAAATCCTGCTAACCTTATTTCAGCATAACTGCACTTATGGACAGTGTCTCACAGTTTGTAACCAACTGTATATCATCTGGTGTGCATTTTACATTTTCTGAGGCTAAAAAAAGTGTAGAAAAATAATCATTCTTTCTTCAAATTCATCTCTATCTTCACTTTTTTTTCTTTTTTAATTTAATAAGTCTTTTCTTCAAGATTCTGTTGTCTTTTGATTGTTTCCTTGCAACTCAGGTACTGACTCATCAGTACCTCAGATTACTTAGCCCTTCAACTTCCAGTCTTGAAAATGTGCAGATTTGATCCATTTTTTTAAAGCTATCAAGCTTATTCTACTGTGCCATTTTCCAGCCAGCTTGCGAACATGTGACATTACTTGTTTTGATGTGCAAAAGCCTCAATGGAAAGTGCATAGAAATCCATAATGAAATCACCCAAAGTGTTACGAGAGCTTTTCAGAAAAACAGCTCTTCCCCTTATTTGACATAGCACCGCCCACCCCCCACAACACACACACACAGACCATGTGATGTTAAGGTAAACAGGCAGGGTACAGCGTCCTTGATTTTCCTGATATTCTATATAGATAGAGATTTTCTTGGGGGGAGGGGGGGGGAACGTCTTCTAAAGAGGAGGAAACGTAGCAGTGAGAGACTAGGTAATTTGACCAAGGACTTCCTGCCAACTGATTACAAAACAGGGCTCAGATGTTTCTGGTCAGTTCACTTCCCTCAAACCAGCCCCAAACCAATAAGCCAGTGGTGGCTTATTGAAGCACAATGGAAAGACCAAGATTTCAGTCTGAAACCTGCAAATGTTAGTCTCACTCCTTAAAATATCTCACTCCTTTCTGAATTAGTTTGGGCTGGAAAGAGTTTGTTATTAGACCATAGCAAAGAAATGCCAGGTGTGGCAGTCTTTCAACAGTCTTTCAAAAAAACTTTCTCCAGCAATCTGGAAACCCCCTTTCAGACACATGAAATTCCAGCACTGCTGAAAAGCACATTGGAAGATGTCTAACAAACTTGTTTCTGATGACTTGGCAGGGCTTTGGGTACCAAACCATCCTGGATTGAAGGGCTTGTCCGTGCCATACTACACTCAAGTCAGGCAAATGTAATTGCAGTGGACTGGGTTTATGGGTCTGCAGGAACCTACCCCTCTGCAGTGGAAAATGTCACACAGCTGGCCCTCTCCATCTCACACTTCATCAGCAAACTGCTGGTAAGCTGCTCTGCATTTCCAGTAGCGGAGGAACATGGCCAGAAATCATCATTCATGAAAAAAATCTTAGAGTTGCTCCCAACCTGATGTTTATAGGAGCTGGTCAAGCAGACTCTTTATTCCAGACCCGAAGATTGTTTTTCCCTTCTTTCTCAGCCAGGCTTGAGCATGCCACTGTTTTTCTTCTTGAGTTTTGACTCTTTGACAACATTTCTGTTGTCAGCTCCAAGCCCAGTACAAGCCTGAAGGATAACTTGGGTTATTGCAGGTCTGTGCTTAACTGGATAGATCTTCTTCCTCTTCTTCCAAGGTATTTGGTCCAGAGAGCTGGACGGGGTGGGATTTGAGGCTATTTTATATTTTTGGAGCTTCAGATAAACTCTATAGTGATAGGAAAACATTATATGTGTCCCAGTTTGTTCATGTAAAGCACAGATGAACAACACTTAGACAATGAGGATGACACATCTTTATATTTACCAGACATGCATAAACCCTCCACGTGGCATTTTAACTGCAGACCAAGGCTTCACAGTTCCTGGGTATGCACCGCATTGTGCACAGACACACTTTTCTATACAGATATATGGCAACTCTTGGAGCAGCTGTGTCTGACAGACCTGGTTAGGATTAGTTTTGCATTTGTGGACCCAAAAAAAGGCTGTGAAAAGCAGTAATGTCAATATCCATAATTTCCAAATCTCTGATTCTCTGCTGTATACATCAAGAACAATGCTTCAAAGAGTTATGGAGTTGCTGGGTAAACTGGGACAAACTATTTCAACAGTCTGCTACAGAAACACTAAATTGTATTATCATCAATCTGCAGGCCCTAGGAGTCTCAGGGACATCCATCCATATTATTGGGGTGAGCCTCGGTGCACATGTCGGGGGTCTGGTGGGGCACTTCCATGGTGGTCAGCTGGGACGGATAACAGGTATTGTAAAACTGGGTTTTGGGTCCTCATCTGATGTTTAAGGGAGAGAATGAAAGATCAGGGAAGGGAATGTTTCCATAGTCATCCTATAACTGCAAAAGGCCTCATGAGGTGCAAGTTTATGGGCTGCTGCTTAGCTTCAGAAGAGCCTGGCAATGTCTTTACAGATGCCATTAACCCCTCAGCCACTGTCAAAACAATGTATGCAGTTGCAAAAGAGTCCTTCTGCCTCTGCTCCACCCTTAAAGTGCTGCCAGCTTAGAAGAGTACTAGGCTGCAATACTCAACTAGCTCTGGATGAAACCCCATGCCACCAACAGGCCTTGCTTCTATGTTTAGCATGTGTGACCTCTGTGGTTCCTAAAATTCAAGTTGACGATGTATGCCATTGTGGGAGAGTGGCAAGAGAGGGCTGCTCCCCAAGGAAACATGAGCTGGAAAGCAGAGGTGACAGCAAGCCAGGCAGGATTAGTGGCTCCACTGACAAGGGACGTGATCCTACAGTACCTGGGCAGGAAGAGCAGACAGGTTCTGGTGACAGAAACCACGGTCAGCTGCAGTGCAGTTATCACCAGGCTGGTCTATAGCCATAAGGCAAGTCCAAATTCAAGCAGGAAGTAAGTCAGGAAGATAAGGGCAGGATCAGAAAGGCACAGGTTTGGGCATGGCATCCCTCCAACACAGCTCAGGTAAGGGCCAAGGGCCATAGCCTGAGTCAGTGTGTGTGTTTGTGGTGGGAGGACAAGGAGGCAACAAGGCAGTTTTCCCAGCCAACTGGTCCTAGGCCACCTGGTTGTACCATTTTGGACCAGACCTTGATAACAGACAGCGTCACATTCTGGGTATGAGGAAGAGGCTGCAGTTGGGTGATTACAGAGGAAGATGGTTACAGGCATTTGGAGCTTCTGGGTGCCCTCAGAGCCCTGCCGGCCTTTGGGCTTGGGGCATGTATAGACATGGGTGGGAAGGTGGGAATGGACCTTGGGAGGTCTCTAGACCAACCCCTCACTCCAAGCAGGGCTGACTTCCAAGTCAGATAATGTTGCTGAGGACCTTGTCAAGCTCCAGGGACCCCCAGGAGTGGAGATGCATTTGGATGGACAGTAAAATGCCACAAAGAAGAGCCAGACACAAAGGCACTAAAAGACCGAACACAATTCCCAGAGCTGCCTCACAGAGGTATCCTTAGAAAGGGTCTCACAGCACACTCGGCAGGGCAGAACGCAGAAACATTGGCTTGGCCTTTGCACATCACAGCTATCCACACTGTGTGAAATAGGCATTGCTTACCAGGAGACAAGTTTCATGACAGGCTTCTTTTTAAGCTGTGAATGAAAGTATTTATTAGGAGAGGCTTTGGACAATCACACTTCTGCACCAGCCTTTTGTGATCAGTAACATCTTCAGATCAGCTGAAGAGACTCTTCCAAAGAAAAGACAGTAATTAACCTGAGAGTCAGAGACTCTTTATGTTTTCTACATGCAATAAAAAATCTGTACGTTCATTTATTCCCTTATTTTTATGCTCTGCCACAAGGCAAACATTTTCTGTGTACTTGATTGCCTTATGATTTCAAATGTACACTGAATCTTGCAGGCTGAAGTTCAGACTTTGGAGCTTAAGACAGGTGGAATCAGAGCCAGGATATCCATCTGATCTCATCCCCTGCCCCGCTCCCACTCTACATCCATGCAAGAACACTCATATAGAGCAATGTTATCCCAGAGCTATAACTTCTTTAAGTATTTTCAGTCACCTAAATGAGCTGTTGAACAACAACAAAAATGTCTTGGAGCTCAGAGTATAAATATTTTTATGAAGTGAGCTTCTTTAACTCAATCTTGTTTCTGTAGAGAATCTCCTTTTGCAGGAAGGCAAATGGCAGAGAATTGGAATGGATGGTGAAGAACATTTTTTTTCAGTTCTTGCAGAGGAAATGACAAACCCTGAGGGAATTTAGCTGCATAGACAGTTAAGCCTTTGGTGAATAGCTTGCTAAGCTGGTGAGGATGTAGATCGCAATAGAGTTTGTGCAGCTTGTGTTTGGAAGAAGTAGGGATAGATAAAAGAGGATAGGAAAGTGCTGGACTTGGAGCTAGCACTGGTAGTGATACAACTAACTGCTGCTAGTCTTAAACACCATCCTCAGGAATAGCTTCTAGCTATACAGAACAGCATTTCAGTCTCTTAAAGCATTTAGCTAACACTTCATTGCAGAAGCAGGCAGGGAACTTCCTGGAGTTTTGTATGTATAAAGCTTAAAAAAAAAAAAAAGGAAGAAACAAAAAAGAAGTAGATTTTTCTTCTCATTAGCTTTTGATTTTTTTCTCCTCCTGCCTCCTTCACATGTGAGTTTCTATTTTGTTGATATACCTTCTCCATAGAGAACTAATGGGACAGAGTCCAAGCTAGCAAATCTGGACAGCTTTGAGGCTAAAAGTGGTATGTAGATGTAGAGGAGAGCTGCTTCATAAATTGTTGTTCTTGACTGGGGAGTGAAAAAGTCTTGTGAGATGACTGGGCAAGGTTAAGCCTCAGTTAGAATAAGAAACTAATCTTTAACTTGTTCCTGGGTACCATCAAGGACAATTTTCTTTATGCCTTTGACTCCCCAGATTTTGCTCTAGGGGCCAGTTTGAGGCAAAAATGAGATGGCTGCCTGAGAAATAGATTATATTTGGGAGGAGAGGCCTCAGAAGCCCCGTTGTTTTAAGGATGCTTGATAGGTGTCAAACCTTTTTATATTTAGTTTGGTTAATGCTTGGATGCTGTCTACCTTCTCTTACTCATGGTCTTCAGTGACATTCCGCAGACTCTACAGTTAATACACATGACAGTACAAATAGGAAAGGTTTTACAAGTGGTTCTCTTTCATTGCAAGTCCACAGGGCACTCTACATCCACTTATGCCAGATCTACTTTTAACTTAATCATTGCAAATTTAAGGTTTATATAGACTGTTTGATAAAGAACTGCTACTTTGGGATGGGTGTCTAGGAGTAGTAGAGGACGAGGTAAGGAAGCTATAGTGAAACTTAGTGGAGCATAACCAGTGTATCACTGATTAGGAATAACTAGGAATAACTTACCACTTCTGCTTAGCAACTTTTTAAATGTTTGGATAAAATAATCAGTCCAGAAATAAGAAAGAAAAGATCTGAGGAGCGTTGATTGAGATGGTTGTTTCATTTTTTTTACAGGCCTGGATCCTGCAGGCCCTAGGTACACAAAAGCCAGCCCTGAGGAACGCTTGGATCCTGGGGATGCCCTCTTTGTGGAAGCCATTCATACCGATGCTGACAGTAGGCTGGTTTCTATCCTCTTCAGACTGTGCTTCCGTTCCTTCTGCCACCATTATTGCTAAGGACTGTGTCGGTCAATGTCCCCTTTAGACCAGATGATGATGAGTTCAGGTCAATTTTGAAGATATCTCATGATTACATGGGCTTTTAATTAAAGAGATAAAATCAGGGCAACTATATATACCTGAGAGCACTTCACTGCAACACAAATGGAAACCTCTCTGCTGTAGACATAGGGCAATCCCACAGCAAATATTTCTTTCTTATTCCTGTAACACTAGAGGAGTTTCTGCTAGTTCTGCTGGTGTGGCTCCTATGTGGCTAGAAGGAATTTCCGTGCCCATTCTGTCTTTGCTTTTTCCTACCTGCTGTCAGAGAAGTGCTACTGGGAATGCCCGTAGAAAGAATAACAGCATCAAACCCATAGTTTGTGAAACAACAGAGTAACTTTTCTAAAGCACCTAGGGTTGGTCGCTGTAGACAGAACATGTCTGAAGATTAGCATTTCACACTTTCACCTGGAGAGCGCAATACTCTCTACCAACATAACTCAACCACACTCCACGTCCAGTGGGGAAGTGAGTATAGGAGATGATTATAGAGGGTCCTCTTTCACCCCTCCCGGGAAACCTGCAGGCTCGATTACTTCCCTGAAATGCCTGCACACCAATGCACGCAGCATGCGGAATGAACAGGAGGAACTGGAGATCCATGTGCGGTCCCAGGGTCAAGATCTCATTGGAATTAAAGAGACATAGTGGGACATCTCACACGACTGGATCACTGTCATGGAAGGCTATGTGCTCTTTAGGAAGGACAGGCTGGGAAGGCGAGGTGGTGGAGTTGCTCTTTATGTCAGAGAGCAACTGGAATGCATAGAGTTCAACTTGGGGGTGGTGATGAGCAAGTTGAGAGTTTGTGGGTAAGAATTAGAGGGCAGACAAATGTGGGAGACACTGTGGTAGGCATTTGCTACAGGCCACCTGATCAAGATGAGGAAGTTGATAAGGCCTTCTAACAGACAGCTGGAATTAGCCTCACAGTCACAGGCCCTGGTTCTCATTGCGGACTTCAGCCACCCTGACATCAACTGGAAAGACAACTCAGCCAGGCACAAACAGTCCTGTAGGTTTCTGCAATGCAATCATGATAACTTTTCAATACAGATTGTGGAGGAGCCAATGAGGAGAGGTGGGCTGCTGGACTTTGTACTAACAAATAGGGAGGGACTTGTTGGAGATGTGAAGGTGGGGGGTAGCCTCAGCTGCAATGATTATGAGCTGGTGGAGTTTAGATTCCAACGAGGAGGAAGCAGGGCTTTAAGTAACCTTGCAACCATGGACTTCAGGAGGGCCAACTTTGGCCTCTTCAGAGACCTCCTTGGAAGAATCCCATGGGCTAGGACTCTAGAAGGAAGGGGAGCCCAAGAGAGATGGTTAGTATTCAAGTAGCACTTCCTCCATGCTCAGGAACACTGCATTCCTTTGAGTAAGAAGTCAGGCAGAGGGGACAGAAAGCCTGCGTGGATGAGCAAGGAGCTGTTGGCAAAACTCAAACAGAAAAAGGCACTATACAGAAAGTGGAAAAAAGGACTGGCTCCTTGGGAGGAATATAGGAAAGTTGTCAGGGAACGCAGGGATGTGGCAAGGAAAGCTAAGGCATAATTGGAATTAAATCTGGCAAGGGGTGTTAAAAATAACAAAAAGAGCTTTTTCAAATATATCAATGGTAAAAGGAAGATTAGGCAAAATGTGGGCCTGTGAATGGCGTGGGTGCCCTGGTTACGAAAGACATGGAAAAACCAAAGCTACTGAATGCCTTCTTTGCTTCAATGTTTACCAAGGGCAGCCCTCTGGAATCCCAGCCCTTAGAAACCAGAGAAGATTCCTGGAGAGAGAAAGACTTGTCCTGGGTAGAGGAAGATTGAGTCAGAGAGCACCTAGGACAACTTGATACCCACAAATCCATGGGCCCTGATGGGATGTACCCCAGAGTTCTGTGTGAGCTGGCGGATGTCATAGCTAAGCTGCTCTCCATCATCTTTGAAAGATCCTGGAGAATGGGGGACGTGCCAGGGGACTGGAAGAAAGCCACTGTCACACTAGTCTTCGAAAATGGCAAGAAGGAGGGCCCAGGCAACTACAGGCCAGTCAGCCTCACCTCCATCCC